TTCTAAATATAGAAAGATGATAGTATTGTTTTCGGGATAGACTAAAAAGGAAAGAATATCATGTAAATTGAATCAAAGGGAGTATATTAGTTATAGTGGAAGAAGATATTAGAATAATGGTTGAAAATTTAGTTTGATAGAGAAGATGTGATAGGAAAGCTCATTTGCATAATTGTGCATTTTCAAAATTGATTTTTTTGTTTGAATGCATGAGAATTAGTTGGAATTTCCTGAATTACTCTCTTCGTCCCAATTTGTGTGTCCGTGCTTGCAGAAAACGGTGGTTAAGTTGTTAAATTTGACTTATATATTGTATTAGTGGTAGTAGAAGAAAATATTAAGGTAATGGTTGAAAGTTAGTTTGGTAAATCATATCAAAAGTTAAAATTTGATAAGTTGAATTCTTGAATGTTGTGAAACCTTTGTCAGAATTGTGTAAAAATCTTGCGTCCAAAATAATAGGGTGTGCCATATAAATTGGAGAGGAGGAAGTGTTATATTAGTGAGAGTGGAAGAAAATAATAATGTAATGGTTGAACTGTTAGTTTGATAGAGAAGGAAGGCTTCACGTTGAAGTTTAAAACATGATATGTATAAATGTATAGTGAATTTGAATTACTTAAGTTGTGGGTGTGTAGAAATGGAATTATGTTGAATATTCTAGATGCCTCAACGTGGAAAGAATGTCATATAAATCGGGATGGAGGGAGTACTATTTAATCATAAGTAGATAACAAGTTAGGTTTATATTAGATACTCGTGCTGGTTTATCATAGAATTCGTAGATAGGAAAAAGTGGAAAGTGGATATTACCTATGTGATAAGCAATGTAGCTTGCATTTAATTTGAAATATTAGTAACTGGAAGATAGAATCCTTTTGCAAGTCTTTTATCTGTGTCAAACATTGCGCTTGTAGGTGTTGCATGCTTGCTACACAAAAGTGTTACCTTCCGTAAAGGTTGATAACCCTCAGCTTGTAGCATGGTCAGAATCAGTGGCGGAGTTACTTGAATTGGATCCCAAAGAGTGAGTTTTCAAAAGCTTGCTGAATGTTATTATGGTCATGCTAATTGTGGGTTGATGAAATTAATATAGACTTATCTTAATCTTTCAGAAGTGAGAGGCCTGATTTTCCCCTTATATTCTCGGGGGCATCACCATTGGTGGGAGCGTAGGTTTCTCGAAGCTTAGCGACTTTGTCTTTGAATTTTTAGTAATAAAACAGCATCAAAAGGCTGGGTTTGATTCTGCAGGATGCCTTATGCCCAAAATTATGGAGGACATCAGTTCGGCATGTGGGCCGGTCAGTTAGGGGATGGTAGGGCAATAACTCTTGGAGAGATTTTGAATTCAAAGTCTCAAAGGTGGGAGTTGCAGCTGAAGGGTGCTGGAAAGACTCCATATAGTCGTTTTGCGGATGGTCTTGCAGTGCTTCGTAGCAGCATTCGGGAATTCCTTTGCAGTGAAGCAATGCATAGTCTTGGAATCCCAACGACACGAGCACTTTGTCTAGTGACAACAGGAAAAGGTGTCATGAGGGATATGTTTTATGAGTATGTTCCTCAGCCACGATATTTCTCTTTTGATTGAGAAGCTGCATAAATCAGCAAGGAATCATCTACCTAGCCTTGACTTGCATGTTTTGTTCTCTTTATCAGCTAATATCATAGAGCATGTCTGTCATTTTTGCTTCAAAAGACAAATCTTCTTTCCTTTTGGAAGAAGGATACTGTGAGGAGTTTTATTGTAAATTGATGAAAAGTACCTGTAGACTTGTCTTGGGGGTAGGTTCGGAGTCTGCATAGGAATTTGTGTCAGAGAATTGTACTCCAGATAATTGTTACTTAGTCCAATCTAGTGCGTTATGGTTTCATCTACTGATTATTGTCTTCCTTCTCATGCAGCGGAAATCCCAAAGATGAGCCTGGTGCAATTGTCTGCAGAGTTGCCCAATCCTTCCTGCGTTTTGGTTCTTATCAGCTACATGCCTCCAGAGGTAAAAAGGATCTTGAGATTGTCCGTGCTTTGGCAGATTACGCCATTAGATATCACTTCCCCCATTTAGAGAACATGGCTAGGAGTGAAAGTATATCATTCAACACTGGCGAGGAAGACAATTCAGCTGTGGATTTAAGTTCAAACAAGTATGCAGGTAAAATTATAGATCATCTTTTAGGGATGGATTTCCGTGCCGATCTCCTTTTTAAGACTGAATATAGTGTAGAGAAGGAGAGTAATGGGAGTTGTTCATCGACGATTAATCATTGTCTCAAACTTCTCCATTGTTGGTGACAGTCTTAATCATATTCGGCTATTATGCTTCAGATTTTGTGAACTTCATTAAATTTCAGTTTGCTTGGTTGTCCAAGTAAATTTGAATCCGAGTGGCACAGGATCTTTATCTATAATCTTAATAAAGCACCAACCCCGTATAATAAATTTCTGTCTCATGACTAACCAAAATTCTCATCAAATTCCTTCTCTTTGTAACTTTAATGATATAGTGCTAAATTGCTCTCTGTGGCACTCTCTCCTATGCATTGGCCCACTATATCCGGTATCTTGTTTTTTTTCTTGATTTATTGGATATTCATCTTCTTTTTTACTGTTTGTTGGGTGTGTTTTCGCCTTTGTTTTGTTTTAACCCAAAAAAAAAAAAAAACTTGGGTGTGTGTGTGTTCTGTGCATACTTTGACAATTTGCTTTCTCGCATGCGTTGATGAATGGGTGCATTATTTCAGCATGGGCAGTGGAAGTTGCTGAGCGGACTGCTTCCATGATTGCCAGGTGGCAGGGTGTTGGTTTCACACATGGAGTGATGAACACTGACAATATGAGCGTGTTAGGACTCACCATTGATTATGGCCCTTTTGGATTTTTAGATGCTTTTGATCCCAATTTCACACCAAATACCACTGATCTTCCTGGCAGAAGATACTGTTTCGCGAATCAGCCAGATGTAGGTTTATGGAATATTGCACAGTTTACCTCTGCTCTATCGACTGCAGACTTGCTAGATGATAAGGAGGCAGATTATGCCATGGAAAGGTTGTACTTAAATTACTACAAGTTGACCATTTTCTCTAGTGCTTTCGCTCTGTTATTTGCTCGATTTTTTCTCTTTTACTGTTGAAGATGTTTATCTACTGACTTTTTTAGATACGGCGACAAATTTATGGATGATTACCAAGTTATCATGACCAGAAAACTTGGTCTGGCAAAGTACAATAAAAAGTTGATTAGTGAACTACTCAAGAATATGGCCATTGATAAAGTTGATTACACAAATTTCTTTCGATTGCTATCAAACATCAAAGCTGATCCTACAATTCCAGAGGACCAGTTATTGATTCCTCTTAAAGCTGTTCTCTTGGATATTGGCGAGGAACGCAAGGAAGCCTGGACAAGCTGGGTAAAGTCTTACATACAAGAGGTATGTGACAATACATTTTTTCTTCAAATAACAATGAGCTAAAGTATTAACGAAGGGCAAATGTGATCAATTTCGTATACTACAAGGGCATATTTGGACCTTTTCCGTATAATGAATTTGTCAAGGTTCTTTCTTGTATGTGAGAGATGATTAAGGTGTCACTTTTTCTACTTCGTGCAGCTCTCTACAACTGGTCTTTCGGACGAGGAGAGAAAGGTTTCGATGAATTCTGTAAATCCAAAGTACATACTTAGAAACTATTTATGCCAGACTGCTATTGATGCAGCAGAACAAGGCGATTTTGGGGAGGTTCGCCAGCTATTGAAAGTAATGCAATGTCCATTTGATGAACAACCGGGTATGGAGAAGTACGCACGGTTGCCTCCAGCATGGGCCTATCGTCCGGGTGTATGCATGCTTTCTTGTTCCTCGTAAGATTTCCACTATGTAATACAAGAGTTTTAACTTGTATATAACAGAAATTGGTTCTTCAATCTTGTAGTAATGTGTAAAAGGTATAGCTTGCGTCTTTTCCACGTTCTTGTTTTTTGGTCATTAATACGCAACAGTGAAGGAGTAGCCCTGAACACACGATACAAGGATATCCAGCTCTTTCTGCTTAAACATAGAAAAAATTTGAGTTTTCTTATACAGGTACTCTTCTTTGTTTAGTCTCTTTCTTTCGTGTAAGTTCAGTTGATCGAAAAACCACCGTCTAAAAGTACCCGTGAGCAGGCCCCGAAGATTTAACAACATTAACTATACATATCAGTAACTTTACGGAAATTTGGATGAGGTAGCTTGACTTGGCACGGAAAGAAAAAAAGAATTTTTTTAAAACTTGTGATCTTAAAAGCTTAAGGACACAAGCTTTTTGGGGCAATGATATTTGTGTCGCGATAAAAGTTTCTCATTAAGAATAAAATAAAAAGTTTAAAGTTGAATTATTTTTAATCATAAAAATATGTTATTCTTTTTTAACGGACTAATAAAGAAAGTGTGTCATCTAAATTGAAGCGAATGAAGTATAAATTATAGATTTTCTGTAAGAAAAATATTTTTGTAATCATTGTTATAGAGAGAATTGTTTAACACCTTTCAGAATGACAATACTTTTCAATCGGATAAACAATCCAAATTCAACCTCTCGGAAAAAAATTCGATCTCCATCGTTTATAAACTCTTCTCTAACAAAATTTATTGGCAAAATGATCGCTCTTAAAATAATAGCGAAAGAAAAATATATTTTTTGTATATATATACATTATGTATGTTATATATAAAAATTATATAAATTTATTCATTTTTTTAGCTACTGAATATAAATTATTTCTGATTTGGACTAAAAGTGAAAAAACACAAAACACGTGTGTTTAATGTACACAGGCTTAATGAACAAAACACAAAGGGATAAACAACACCTGTTAGCTTGGAGTTTTTGGATAATCTTATAAAAAATAAAGTGATATATAACTCACCAAAAAAAAAAGGATCTCGAAAGTGGAGCCGGGTCGGGTCATGATATTTTTGTTTCATTTCGGGTCGGGTACATTTTTAACTTTTACTACTATATTATCCAAAAGTAATGTCCCCTCGCCAGAGCCACTTTCAGCAAAGAGGAGAGTTCTCAATCTTCAACTGTACCTCCATTCAAGTAAGTTTATTTCTCTCTTTTTAATCTACGTATTAATGCATAATGCTTAATATCCAAAAATACATTTGTGTAACTGGTACTCACATATAGCCTTGCTATTAATCTCTGATCTATAATGAAAATTTGGAACGAAAATCAGATAATATGTGAATGAGCACATTGCAGAAGGATATCAGACACCTTAAATCAGAGACCCTTTTCTATATTCTTCTTGATTTCATCTTTGCTTTACACCTCTAATTGTATGAGAAAAGATTGACAGTCAAGTCTTAATGTAATATTTAATAAAAATGTAATATTTCAAGTATGAATCTTGGATTGAGAATCAGATGATTTGGGAATTGATTAAATTACAAATGGAACACAGACACCTTAAATTGGAGACCCTTTTTGATACTCTTCTTGTTGGAGCAAAGCATATCAAAATTTGGTACTCAAGTTGTAATCTCTAGAGTTTGGATGTTCCCAAGACTTCATTTTTCTCTCCTTAGTTGTTGAATTGGGGTGGGTTCAGTTTTTTTTAAACCCGTATTCTTTTTTACTGTATTTTGTAGTATCTTCTCTCTTTACAGCCCGGTGCACTAAGGTCCTGCTATGCACGGGTCCAGGGAAAGGCCGGACCACAAGAATCTACTGTACGCAACCTTAACCTGCATTTCATTTCGGCAAGGGGCTGTTTCCACGGCTCGAACCCGTGACCTTGTAGTATAAGGTCAGATAATATGGGATTGTGTAATTTGCGTCTGTCTCGGATGAGGAGCCCCTATTTAAAACTCTTCTTGTTTCCATCTTTGCTTTACAATCTCAATTGTAGGAGAAAGATTTTTAAATTTTGCAGTCTAGTGTAGTGTAATCTTTGAAGTATGATTGTCCCCAAAACTTGATTTTCCTCCTTATCTGGGTGTAATTGTTGGGTTAGGTCAGTTAATTAAAAAACATGAGTGTCAAGTTCAGGTGTCATAAAAGACAACAAATCAGTTGGCTTTTACTGGGCATTCTTTTCTGAACGAGTTAAAAAGAAAGAGTGACATATAAAATGAAACCGAGGGCGTATGCTGTGATCTATCTGATTAGGAAATCTTTAGTAAAAGAGAAAGTATCCATACCTCCCTTATACCATTTATAGTTGTATTATTTGATGGCTCAAGAAAATCGTTCTATGATTGCTTTCTCGTTTCCCCTTCTCATGATAGGTACAGTCTATCTGGATTTTAAAGTCCCTCATAAAACGAAATACTTTGGAATTTTTGAAGTAAACTTATAAAACCTCTCTCATCGATACAAGACTCTCTTCTTAGTCTCGCTTGAGGCTGTGAGATATCATTTTGACAAAATTCTTTTCTTTCTTAACCACTTCGTAAGCTCCTTTTTATTTTTTATTTGTTTGTAAACTAACCTTGTATTACCGTGGACATAAGTGATTATGTTGTTTCCTATTTTACTATAAAAAAAAAAGGCAGCCCGGTGCACTAAGCTCTCGCTATGCGCGGGGTCCGTGGAAGGGTCGAACCACAAGGGTCTATTGTATGTAATCTTACCCTGCATTTATGCAAGAGTATGTTTCCACGGATCGAACCCGTGACCTCCTGGCCACAAGGCAACAACTTTACCAGTTACGCTGAGGCTCCCCTTCTTCCTATTTTACTTTAGTAATCATATTAAAGTCCATCTTTAAAACTGCACCAGTATACTTTTCTACATAGCGTATGCATCTTTTAGTCATATTTTCATGCTGCAACAAACAGGTGCTTTGCTAATTGTTCCAAAGGTTTTGATGCTATCTGGTTTCGTATGAATGAACGATTGCTCTGTGATTTATGTGAAAAATGAGGCGTAGCCTTGAGGTTTGGAAAATGGGCACTGTGAACTACTTGGAGGCGCTGAAGCTGCAAGAGAAGCTGGCATCTGATTCTGATACCTTATTGTCGCTGCAACATCCGCCAACATATACCGTTGGCAAAAGACAAACAGTTCACAATCTACTCATTCCTGATTCTGAGTTCAAAGCTATAGGGGCAGAACTTCACTATACACAAAGAGGAGGTGATATTACTTATCATGGTCCTCATCAAGCAATCTTGTATCCGATTATCTCGTTGAGAGATATCAGCTTGGGGGCTAGAAAGTATGTAGAAAAACTCGAGCTAATGATGATTGAATTAGCATCAATGTACGGCGTGAAAGCACAGACTGGACAAAGATGCGAAACAGGAGTTTGGGTTGATAATAGAAAGATTGGCGCGATTGGAGTACGAATTTCATCTGGGATTACATCTCATGGATTAGCATTCAATGTGGATCCAGATTTAAGTTACTTTAAGCATATTGTTCCTTGTGGAATTGCAGATAAAGATGTTACGTCGTTGAAAAAAGAGGCAGATATAGAGCTTCCTGCTGAAGAGGTAATTCAGGAGCAGTTAATCTCTTGTTTTGTGAGTATATTTGGGTACACTGATGTACTCTTTAAAAATAAGTTAAATCTGTAATATTTTTGATAAGCAAAATCTGGACACACATTGGCATATAACTTGGCAATAGTTCATGATCTCTTTCTTTCTTCTTCTTCTTTGGTGTCGGCTAACTTGTGCGTTCCCTGATTGTTCTGCTAGGTACTTATTAAGTACCTATTGCCGAACATGAATCCAAGACACATACTAATGTGTGACAGTTGACCTATTTCGTAAGTTCCAATATATAATCTATGGAGTATCTCTTTTTGATGGAATTCTTTGTCACTGATGATCTGATTAAAAGTTGTAAAGTCTGGTGCGTTTGTTTGTCTATAGTCTGTTTTTAACGTGCGTAGAGACCAATTTTATTTTTTATTTTTCTAATTTTTTAGGCAGTCCGGTGCACTAAGCTCCCACTATGCACGATTCGGGGAAGGGGTCAATTGATGGAATTAATTCATTGAAGGGAGCGTTAGCGTAACTGGTAAAGTTGCTGCCATGTGATACCTAAGGAACAATAGTTATCGCTTCGACATGACTGTTTCTCGTTTTTTGGTATTTTAGGGCCATAAAATTGGATTTCCGTGCGATTCTCAGATTTTCGTGTGAGAAAGCCCACGTCCTCTGCATGGGTCTGGAAGAGCAGATCTGAATCGCCTAAAATTTTGCTGGCCCATAAAAAACCACCTAAGGTATAATAGTCATCGCCTCGTCATGACCATTCCTCGTTTTTTGGAGTTTTGGGGCCATAAAACTGAAATTTCGCCCAATTTTCAGATTTTTATGTGCTATAGCCCACGCCTAAAACTTTGCCAGCCCATCAAAAATCACCTAAAGGACAATAATATTCGTCTCGTCACGATCGTTCCTCATGTTTTGGCTTCTTAGTACCGTAAAACCCGAATTTCGCTCGATTTTCAGATTTTCGTGTGCTACAGCCCATGCCATTGGCATGGATCCGGGTGACCGGACCCGAATCGCCTAAAATTTTGCCGGCGCAGCAAAAACCACCTTGGAAACAATAGTCAATGCCTCGCCATGATCGTTTCTCATTTTTTGGCGTCTTAGGGATATAAAACTAGAGTTCCCCCTGATTCCCAGATTATCATTTGCTATAGCTCACGCCATAGATATGGGTCCAAATGACCTGACCCGAATCGCCTAAAATTTTGCCAGCCCATCAAAAACCACTTAACGAATAATAGTTAACCCCTCGCCATGGCCTTTCCTCATTTTTTTGGCATTTTAGGATCATAAAACAGGAATTGCACCCGATTCTCAGATTTTTCGTATAATATAGCCTACGCCATCGGCATGGGTCCGGTCGACCGCACCCAAATCGCCTAAAATTTTGCTGGTATATAAAAAACTACCTAAGGAACAATAGTCAACGCCTCGCCCTAGCCATTCCTCGTTTTTAGGCGTTTTAGGATCATAAATCGGAATCTCGACCGATTTTCAGATTTTCGTGTGCTAAAGCCCACGCCATCGGCATGGGTACGGGCGACTGCAATTGAATCGCCTTAAATTTTGCTGCCCTATCGAAAATCATCTTGAGAACAACAATCAACGCCTCGCTATGACCGTTCCTCATTTTCTAGCATTTTAGGGGTATAAAAATAGAATTACTCCCGATTATCAGATTTTCATTTGCTTAAGCCCACGCCATCGACATGGGTTCGGGCGTCCGGACCGGGATCGCCTAAAATTTTGCCGCCCATAAAAAATCACCTAAGGAACAATAGTCATCGCCTCGCCATGATCGTTCCTCATTTTTAAGCAGTTTAGGGCCATAAAACTGAAATTCCGCCCAGTTCCTAAATTTTTGTGTGCTATAGCCCACGCCATTGATATGGGCGACCTGACCAGAATCGCCTAAAATTTTGTCGGCCCATCAAAAATCACATAAGGAATAATTGTCAACGCCTCGCCATGATTGCTACTCATTTTTTGACGTTTTAAGGTCATAAAACTGGAATTTCGCGCGATCCCAAAATTTCTTTGTGCTATAGCCCGCACCATCGGCATGAGTCTGGGCGATCAGACCCGCATCGCCTAAAATTTCTCCGACCTATCAAAAATCACCTAAGGAACAATAGTCATCGCTTCGCCATGACTGTTCCCTTTTTTTTTTGGCATTTTAGGGCCATTAAACTGGAGTTCCGGTCGATTCCTAGATTTTCGTGTGTTATAGCCCACACCATCGGTATGGGTCCAAGCAAACGAACCCGCATTGCTTGAGATTTTTCCATCCCATCAAAAATTGTCACGACCCTAGTTCACCAATTGTGAACACGTCATGACGGCACCTAGTCTTCACGACTAGGTAAGCCTAACACATTGCGGAAGTAACAACATTTGCGAAATTTATATTCGAAGCTAAATAACATGAGTAATGTATACAGTTGCCGCCTGGCACATACACTTTAATACAAAATACTGAAATAACCTCCAAGACCCGGAAACCCACGGGCAACACAGGCTATGAGAAATCTTACACTGCTCTAGTCACCAGAATAGTCTAATATAAAGAGTGGTCGAAATAACATCTAACAACTATGGATAGAATGAGAAGGAGACTTTGCGGATCTGCGGACGTAGCAGATGTATACCTCAAGTCCCCAATACGCTCCCTGACAGCTACTGGCGGTACGCCTGCTCAGAAGCACCTGGATCTGCACATGAAAAACATGCACAGAAGAGGCGTGAGTACACCACAACGGTACTCAGTAAGTGCCAAGCCTAACCTCGGTTGGGTAGTGACGAGGAAAGGTCAGGGCCCTACTGAGACAGAAACAATAAAATAGCAAGATATTAACAGTATCGAAGTCTGAAGAAAACTAATTAACACAGCGATGTGATAAGACAGATCAATGAAATATAGAACTGCAAGACAAAACAGAAACACAGAGTAAATACAGCAAAATTACAAGAATACCGACGGGGGTCTCCCAGGATACCGTCCAGTAGCCCTTTTTCAACTGTCCAATGGAAGTTCCGGGATACCGTCCCGTAATTCAATCATTAGTGTGCAGGGGGATCTCCCGGGATACCGTCCCGTAGTCCCAAAATAAAAGTGCAGGGGAATCTCCCGGGATACCGTCCCGTAGTCCCAAAATTAAAGTACAGGGGGATCTCCCGGGAATCAAACCCGTAGTCCCAAAGTAAACAATCAAGGGGGAACTCCCGGAATCCGCATCTGTAGTCCCAATATAAATGCGCAACCAATATCAACGAATTATTCAGACATTTAAGTACAACAATACAAGGCATCAAATGATACTGGCCTAACATGCTCCACGTAATCACAGTTAAGACAATTTAAACAAATAGGCAGCTTGGATCAATTAAACATGCTCTTCTACGCTAGCACAGGCTATAAAAGCAAGCGAAGTAAGGCAAATATGAAAGAGAATCCAAATCAAGTATTTAAGTAAAATCCGGGTTTCAACAATTTGCTCAAGTACGTGCTCGTCACCTCACGCACAAGGCATTCAATTACCAATTATCACATCCTAAGGGACGAAGTCCCCTACACAAGGTTAGGCAAGCCACTTACCTCGAACCGGTGCGAAGTCAACTAGGGAACGATGCCCTTGCCACGAGTATCCGACTCCAAATGGCCCAAATCTATTCAATTAAATTACAAATCAACTGATTCCACTATTGAAATTAAAGCTAAGGCACGAAAATAGGTGAAATGACCAAAACGCCCCTCAGGCCAACGTCTCGGAACCGAATAATTTTCACATTTTTAGAAACCTCGTACTCTCACGAGTCTAACCATATAAAAATCTCAGAAATCGGAGGTCGAATGCTCCCTCAAAACCCAATAGTTTAGTCAATGAACTTTCACCCAAATTCTTCCATTTTTGATCCTTAATTCGAATTTAAAAGGTGGATTTAACTACTAAATGATAGAATATAATTAGAAAGGATCATAGAAATGTTACCCAATAATCTCCTCTCCAAAATCCTCTCAGAATCGCCCTTGCCCGAGCTCAAAATTGATTTTCAAACTTATGAAATTAAACCCTCGAAATTTCCTATTTCTGCCCAGACATTTCCGCTTCTGCGGACAAGGGACCGCTTCTGCGGTCTCGCTTAAGCGGCAAAATAACCGCTTCTGCGGTTTCTCATTAAAGGGGGAAATTCCGCTTTTGCGGATACATGACCGCTCCAGCGGTTCCGCTTCTGCGGAAAGATGACCGCTTCTGCGGTCTCTGAGGGGAAGCCAAAAATCGCTTCTGCGATGAGGAAGCCGCTTCTGCGGCTCCGCTTCTGCGGTTCCCAAACCGCAGAAGCGAAAATACCAGAAGGGAAAACATACCAGCTGCAACAACTTAGAAAATTTCCCCGTTAACCACCCGAAATCATCCCGAGGCCCCCGGGGCCTCAACCAAAAGCACCAATACCACCTAATACCTTATTCGAACTTGCACCAAATCCTCAAAACACCCCAAACAACACCGGAAACCCGATTAAATCAAGGATTCAAGCCTAACCAAATACACTTTCGATCAAAAACCTAACCAAACCTCGTCCGAATGACCTGAAATTTTGCACACACATCCCAAATGACATGACGGAGCTACAGCAACTTCCGGAATTCAAATTCAACCCTCGGATCAAAAACTCACTATCGGACCGGAAGCTTCAAAAATCCAAACTTCGGCATTTCAAGCCTAAATGAGCTACGGACCTCCAAATAACATTTCGAACACGCTCCCAACCCCGAAATCACCTAACGGAGCTAACGGAACCATCGGATTTCCATTCCGAGGTCGTCTTCACACTGTTCCGAATACGGACCATTTTTCAACTCTTAAACTCTCATTTAGGGACTAAGTGTCCCAAAACACTCCCAATCCTAATACCGAACGTCCCAGCAAAACAAAATAGCAGAAATGAACTTAGGGGAAGCAGTTAAGGGGGGATCGGGGCGTAAATTCCAAAAACGACCGGCCGGGTCGTTACAAAAATCACCTAAGGAATAATAGTCAACGCCTCGCTATGACCGTTCTTCATTTTATGGCATTTTAGGGCCGTAAAACTAGAATTCCAACTGTTTTTTTTTTAATATTTTCGTGTGCTATAGCCCACATTATCGGCAT